GAACGAGCCGCCCACCGACCGACCACCGTCGCGGAATTGTCCCATGGCCGGAATGCGAATTATCGCCAGCTCTTTCTCTTTCTCTCTTTCTCCCTCTCTCGCGCGCAGTATCAAGGCGTGAGTTCGCGCTTTCGCTCGGAAATTCCGGAAAATATCTCGCTGCGCGAGACCACGGCGGCGGTCGCGAGTTGCATACAAAAGCGTATTCGCGCGCGGGCGCGCATTACGGCAGCGACATTACTGCCGGTCCTTTCGAGAAACAGATTACGGGACGAACAGGACAATGGGAAGTGTATTCCGCGCCGTATGAAGTACCGCTTTACCGCGTGCACCGGAAAATATACAGTTCCCGGGGAGAGAGCGAGAAGACGCCACGTGGTTCGCGCGTGGCGTCGCATTTCCTGCGTGTATCTCGTCGCCCCCTTCCGTCCCGTTGCCCGTCCCGTGTCGTCCATCGCGTCTCGCATCGCGCCGCGTTGCATTTTTCGCGCACTATAAATCTTTGAAGTGTTATCGGGATACACAAAGGAGCTAAGATACTACTTGTGTCGGTGGGCACCGCGTATATCTTTTCGCATTTTTAACAAGGTTGAGAGAAATGTGTGGAAAAACAGCGACGGAGACACGTATCGTCGGGAATGACGTGGAAGCGAATCGCGCGTGTGACAAAACCGAAGTGGTGTTAATAATTTTAGTCGAAAACGCGCTCTTTACTCTGTCAGCTATCGTTTGCATAATGTAGCGGCCGTTCAACGTACATTACCGGGGTATACGAATTAATCAGAATTATTTGCTGGTATCGCGGAATTTTCACACGTTATTTCCCGCTGTTTGCGACAAAAATGTCGTAAGCAACAGTCAGCGGTCCTCGGTGTATAAAATGACAAGAGATACACTGCGATAACCGATAATTATATTACTATTATATTCATCTTTTGCAAAGAGAATATTTTCATTTAACGAAATATGATATTACTGATTATTGTTATGATTACATTCTTCTCGGATATATCTGAGAGGAATGATTTATTGTCAAATTTCTGCGGCGTACAAGAATGATATAACGATAAAATAAGAGTGCATTAAGAAACTACTCTCTTAAAATGAATCAATGAAACATCACTGAAAACAGTGAATATACACTGATTTGCAGTTATAAGTGTTGCACTGAAAGTGCTCAGTGCTATACTTATATCATATATATTGATATCAGTGACTATTTACTAATTCACTTTGAGAGAGTATACGCGGTGAATTTTTTAATTTTTTTATTCGCCAGGATAACGGCGGACGATTTTATCTGAAGCCACGTCTTTTCACACGACCAAGTGCTATCATATTAATGGCAAATGTAAGTGGATAGTTACACAACCCAGTAACTCGACGATGTGTAATTTGACAGAACACCTCTGGTAATACGAGGGCCGAAACTCGTGTAGCGCACGACAAAATTACTTTCGCAATGATCGTTCGTTATAGAATTTCTACAGAATGCCGGGAGAGACGAACACATGGTCGAAATGTAGAGCTTTCATTGCGAGTCAACGAATAATCCGGGATTCATAAAGTTGTAATTATTTGTCAAACGATGACAGACTGCGAAATTTGGCTTGAGAATGGATTCTAAATGTTCATATGTAATCGTCTCTTTATTTTCAACAAATTCATGAAACGTTAAAATTGGTTGGACGTCCTACGTGATAATTAATTTTACACGCCTGAGTCGAAACAGTCGTCCCTTTACGCTCTGTAGATTTTGTGCGACGCCGAAAAGATAACCTGAATAAAAAAAATTCATTTCTCAACAATTGGTTACATCTTGTAATTTTACTCAAATTTAACACAATTTATCGTTTTGGCCAACTGAATTGACTGCTGTGGAGCAGAATGACTCTCAAAGCCAACTAGGCACTTGGAGCGCAAAGGGCTGATAGTTCTACACGCGATTCATTTTCCGATAATTGACTAGCGAATTGGATAACGAAAAGGGGAAATGGAACGAGGGATGAATGCTTTCATGTTTCGCTAATCATCGAGTCTAAATACCAAATTTCGCTCTCTCTCAGTCTCTTGAATTTAAATTATCTAAAACCGTGGAAAATATGTTACGAGATACTAAAACGTATATCAAATTGCGGCAATTTTGTTATTTGAACTACACGGGGAAAATATTATATGTTCTTTTCATATATGCGCACGTGTGTGTAAACGCAAAAAAAATTAGTCGCATAAACTATAGCTGTGCACTGAGAGAAAAATGTTTGGTATTTGTAATTATAATTATATAGAGAAATATTTACTATAAATTATGGTCAAAACAACCATTTTCTAGTCAATTGCACTATAATTTTAGTGATAATAACCTTATATGCACGTTACTATTACTATCTTCGTGTTGGAACAACTAAAAAAGATAGTTAGGCCCAATTTGGTGCCAACTATATTTTTTGGTTGTTCCAACACGCATAGTAATAGTAACGTGCATATAAGATTATTATCACTAAAGTTATAGTGCAATTGACTAGAAAATGGTTTTGACCATAATTTATAGTAATTATTTCTCTAAATTTATATAATTATAGTTACAAATACCAAACATTTTTCTCTCAGTGCACAGCTATAGTTTATGTGACTAATTTTTTTGCGTTTACACACACGTGCGCACATATGAAAAGAAAATATAATATTAACTTATAGTAATTATTTTTCTATATGATTATAGTTACTACATCTATATGATTTCTATATGATTTTCTATATGATTATAAATACTAAACATTTTTCTCTCAGTGTAGCAGCTAAAATGTGTTATTGAAAAAGGGACAACTAATGTTGTTACGACGGAACATATTCTCGGCACGTTTCGATATGATCCATTTTTAAGAAAAGTTCCGTTTAAGAGAAACCCGAGGGACAAACGCATTTTGATTGATTACACTTACAACGAACTAAGAGGCGCGTTCACGGCGCAACATGTACGGTATGCAAATTCAACGTGCGTGATACGTCATGACACATTACACAAAAATGAGTTAATCCGTTACACATTGCCGGTCAGCGACCTGACATTTTTTTTCTCCGGAACAATGGCGAGCACGTGTGTAACAAGTTCCGCAACGAACGCTACGGGATTTTATGGGTTAACGAATAATTTGTTCTAGATGCTATAGAAGTCGCGCACGAGAATACACTGACAAATGACTTTTGAGGACTTGCGTGAAATATCTAGCTATTGCAAGATAGGAAAATGTTTTTCCATGAAGCGCGTCCCTTATCTTCTACACTCTGCCTTATTTATTGCATCCGTTTCGAGTAACGAGAATAGTTCTATTCTGAGCATACCGTGAGAGCAATAACAATTTGTTCTTATTTGCTTCGTTAGCAAATTTAAGCAAAGTACTGGCTATTATTAGAATAGTAAAATTGATGTTACTGCGCATCATACAGTAAATTATTAACGCGTAAATGCGCGTATTATTCAGTTAGTATAATAATGAATAAACAAGTAGATGTTTCAGTAAATCATCTCGAAATATTTCTTTAAAAGATGTGAAATTGCTTTTGCGATAGTAGTAATATAAAGCAGTGTTGGGGAAGCGCAAATAATTGCACGGTTGCTTCGATTCGCGATAGAAAAACATTTTTGAAATAGAGAAGTGTGTGTGTATATGTATGTGCGCTTGCGAAAATCCTGTCGGGGAAGAAAGTCTGCTTGTGATACAAAAATATTTCTGTACTAAAAATATCATGTATCGCCATCTCCGCGACGCAAAAAGAAGAGAGAACATGGGGAGGGATACCCAGTCAATTTTTCCGCACCATATAACAATAACAGGTACTCCCGCTGCCATAACCGACGCGACGAGACGGTAGAAGGAGAAGAGGGAGAAAAGGAGGCAGGAAACGAGGAGAATTTGTTGTTTTAACCCCAAACTGAAGGCTGATCTTGCTCGTGTATCAAACTTCGGCGCGCTCGTGTGCACTGAAACGAAACGCCAAACTTCGACCGTCCTTTCGCGAAACCGCTGTCCCTTTCACGAAATGTTACTTAAATTACCGCGAAAATTGCGCAATATTTCCCGTACAGAGACGAAAATTTTGAAAAAAAAATGAGTATCTGATAAATCCGATCATTCAGATATACTATGATGATATTATTTTGTAATTGTAAAAACTGATGTGCTAAATTTAACATTTTATGTGTCCCAAATCATCCACTCTCATTTATGTGACAATTAACACAAGAATTTAACACTTGAATATCGTCAGGAATCACAGTTTGTGTTAAATTGACATATGTATAATATTAAATTAACTAAAACAAAACGTTACTTTAACATTTGAGAGAAGTATTAATCTATGGTTTTGATGAAATAAAAATGATAAATTGAAAACAATAATCTATGTCTGACATATTAAATAGATCAATTTACCACAATCTGTGATTCCTAACAGTATTCAAGTATTAAATTATTGTGTTAATTTTTTCCATATTATGCGTGTTAATTTTTAACACATTTATTTTGTGTTAAATTTACACATAAATGAGAGTGGATGATTTGGAATACATGAAATATGTTAAGTTTAACACATCAGTTTTTACAGTGCAGTTGATATGGATGAGAGTCTGCAATGCAATTATACAAATGTTCCAAATATAATTTAGCTTTTACTGTGGAATAGATGAACCGTTAAAATTATTTAAACAGTCCGAGGCGTAATCAAAAAGATTAAATCGTTGAATATGTTAATATTTCGTCTCAAGAGAACTACGAGACGAAAAATGCATGCGCAAAGCGAAAAATGAGAAGCGAAAAGGAGAAAAAAAAGGCGAAATAGAATGGAACAAATGTGGGTATGGAATGTACGTGCAAATTTCGATTCAATAATAAAAGCAAATATATTTAGATAATTGTTGTGTTAAAAATTGTCACTGAACGTGCAACATAGTAAGATATGACTTACTGATAGTAGTGCGCCACCACAAAGAACGTAACTACCATATTGCAAAGATCATTGAAGAACATTCCAGACTAAAACAAATAGAAAAGTAACCAAGATTAGTGTTCTGTTTCTCGGGACAAAGGAAACAGCGCTGTTATTGTCAACCCCCAAATTATTAAAACCCAAATCACACTTATAAATGCAACGTGCAAAAAAATCAACAATTATGACACGAAAAAAATTTATTACACGATAAACGAACGATCGTTGTGTCACGCATTACACATCCCGTGAGAGCCAGATCACGTGCCTAATTGAGCATTGAAGATATCATTCGGATAGCGAAGCAACAGATACATTAACGTACACTCAGTCCGCGAGTAATTGTACAGTAAAGCCTCATTCTATTTCTATAAGTCGGAGATAATAATGAGAGTGACAGACGTCGACTAGACATGACGCGACAAGCACCGGATACATGTAGCGAGAAAGGAGGAGATTATTACCTAATAACGTACTTACGATATGTTTCCACAATCGCATATCGCTATTTTCGACACTCGCGTCACTTATTTTTGCATGAGATTCACTTTCGACAGACGTAAAACGCGGAGCGATGTCGATCGATGTGTTCATGACGGTTACTCGATGCAATAGAGCGAAATTCAAAATGGCCACGTAGATGACAATGTACGCTAAAATGTGCGCCAAAATGTGAACAGTGCCACGGTTCGACAAAGATGCACTCCGTTCTACGGTCCTCTCACTTTTGCTAACAGATCGACGCTACCTTCCGAGATTTGGCATCACATTTTTTTTAGCGTTATTCTGTCTTTTTCTCTGTTTATCACCGAATTTCTAATTCCCGATTAATAAATTCGACGATTGCCCGTTCTATTACTACTTAAATGAATCGGAGAGAGTGACAGGCGTTGACTAGACATAACGCGACAAGCACTGGCTGAATATATCGAGAAAGGAGGAGATTGCTTTATAACGTACTTACGATACATCCCGACGCTCGCACATCGTTATTTTCGACAGTGACGACACTTATTTCCGCACGAGACTCACTTTCAACAGAGAAAAAACCTGTGAAATGCAGAGCGATGTCAATCGAATGTGTTCGTGGCGGCTGCTCGATGCAAAAGATCGAAATTCAAAATGGCCATGTAATTGACGACGTACGTGGGAAATATACGCCGGAACGTAAACAGCGCCGCGGTTCAACAATGACGTACTCTATGTATATCTCTCCCTCTTCTCTCTCTCTCTCTCTCTCTCTTGCTAACAGACCGACGCTACCTTCCGAAATTCAGCGTCACATTTATCTCTATCACATTATTTTGTCTTTCTCTCTGTTTATCACCGAATTTCTAATTTCCAATTAATAAATTCAATGATCGCCCGTTCTATTACTACTTGAATGAGTCTGAGAGAGTGACAGGCGTTGATTAGACACGACGTGTCAAGCACTGGCTGAATATATCGAGAAAGGAGGAGATTACTGCTTTATAACGTACTTACGATACATCCCGACGCTTGCACACCGCTATTTTCGTTACTTATTTCCTCACGAGATTCATTTTCGACAGAGGAAAAACCTGTGAAATGCGGAGCGATATCAACCGATGTGTTTATGGCAGTTATTCTATGCAAAGAGACTGAAGATGGTCCACACTCTTCACTCACAGAGCGTGGAAACGCTTGCTGCGTCACAAGCTGTGTCGCGGTAGCCAATCAACGTGCCGCGTTCCCTAAAGAACTAGATTATTAGATGCATTCAGAAAACATGACGATTGTGTAACCATTGGGCGCGTTCAGCGGAAAAAGTAGTCAGTAAGCAATCAGCGATTATTGGCTTTTCTTGTAGATCCCTAACTCTAGATCAATTACATTGGCGAATTGCTCAACTGTTGTGCAATTCCTTTATAGAAAAGTATCACTGGCTGTGATAAATTGGCCAGTAATAAATAGTAATTTTATTACTCGTACGAGTAATAAAATTATTGAACGACAATAATTATCACTGGCCAAATTATTACTTATCAGTATTACATTTCTATAAAGGTGGATAAAGGCCGGTTTATGATGGCCGTAATCCGTTAACTTATGCCGGAACCGTAAAAAATTGACCAATCACAGTCGATTATTCTTCTATAATTCGACTATGATTAATCAGTTTTTTACGATTCCGGCATAAGTTAACGGATTACGGCCATCATAAACCGGCCTTTATCCACCTTTATAGAAATGTAATACTGATAAGTAATAATTTGGCCAGTGATAATTATTGTCGTTCAATAATTTTATTACTCGTACGAGTAATAAAATTATTGAACGACAATAATTATCACTGGCCAAATTATTACTTATCAGTATTACATTTCTATAAAGGTGGATAAAGGCCGGTTTATGATGGCCGTAATCCGTTAACTTATGCCGGAACCGTAAAAAATTGACCAATCACAGTCGATTATTCTTCTATAATTCGACTATGATTAATCAGTTTTTTACGATTCCGGCATAAGTTAACGGATTACGGCCATCATAAACCAGCCTTAACCAGATAGGAATGCTAGGATAACCAGAATACTGGATAATTATATAGGAATTAACCAAAAATCTTTAGTAACTTTTAACTTATCGAATCATAAAGTTTATAAAGATTATGCATTGAGAATTGCAATCGAGCTAGCTGAATAATCTAAATCTTAGTTCAATTTTATTTGATTGATCTGATTGCAATCCTCAGTCCATACTGTGATACGGGTATAAGATGTATGAGCGATAGTCAATAAGTTAGTTCGCGTTGCTTATACTTTTAGGACATTCCAAAATGTCCTTTCTGAGGAAAATTTTACTCTTAAGTCTATAGTATATGTAACATAAACTATAGATTTAAGAGTAAAATTTTCCTCGAAAAAGATGTTTTAGAATGCAGCCTTAATATTTTTATATCTATGTCTGTTGGATACTTTTTTTAAAAAGAAGAGTTTTTATTAAATTTTGCTCGTTCGCGTCTCATACAACGAAGATTAAATTCAAACGTGTCAAAAGTGTAAGTAGTGTGAACAAATCTATTAATCTAGTTTTTATGGCAATGCGACACGTTGATTGGCTATTCCGTCGTGGCTTGCGTTAAGTGGTTAAGCGCTTCTGCGTTCTGTCAGTAGAGAGCGCGCATCTTCGATCTATTTACATTGAGCAGCCGTTGTTGACACATCGATCGACGTTGTTCCGTGTTTTACGCTTCTTCTCTTTGTAGAAAGTCTCGTACAGAAATAAATATTGCGAGTGTCGAGGACATATCGCGATGTGCGGATATCAGGACATAACGTAAGTACGTTATTAGGCGGAGTAATTTTCTTTCTCGGTATATTTAACCGGTGCTTGTCGTGTCTAATCAACTCCTGTCACTCTCTGATTCATTCAAGTAGTGATAGAATTACTGCTTCGGGCGATCGTCGAATTTATTAATTAGGAATTAGAAATTCGGTGATAAACAGAGAGAAAAACAGAATAACGCCAAAGATAAATGCGACGCCGAATCTCGGAAGGTAGCATCGGTGTGTTAGCAAGAGAGAGAGAGAAGAGGGAGAGATATACATAGAGTACGTCATTGTTGAACCGCGGCGCTGTTTACGTTCCGGCGTATATTTCCCGCGTACGTCGTCAATTACATGGCCATTTTGAATTTCGGTCTTTTGCATCGAGCAGCCGCAACGAACACATTGATTGACATCGCTCCGCATTTCACAGGTTTTTTCTCTATCGAAAGTGAGTCTCGTGCGGAAATAAGTGCCGTCAGTGCCGAAAATAACGATGTGCGAGCGTCGGGATGTATCGTAAGTACGTTAATAAAGCAATAATCTCCTCCTTTCTCGATATATTCAGCCAGTGCTTGTCGCGTCGTATCTAATCAACGCCTGTCACTTTCTCCGACTCATTCAAGTAGTAATAGAACAGGCGATCGTCGAATTTATTAATTGTAAATTAGAAATTTAGTGATAAACAGAGAGAAAGACAAAATAACGCCAAAGATAAATGTGACGCAGAATCTCGGAAGGTATCGTCGGCCTATTCGCAAGAGAGAGAGAGAGAGAGAGGAAGGAGAGAGAGAGGTGTAACATAGAGTACATCATTGTTGAGCCGCGGCGCTGTTTACGTTCCGCCGTGTATTTCCCGCGTACGTCGTCAATTACATGGCCATTTTGAATTTCGATCTTTTGCATCGAGCAGCCGCCACGAACATATCGATTGACATCGCTCCGCATTTCACAGATTTTTCCTCTGTCGAAAGTGAGTCTCGTGCGGAAATAAGTGCCGTCAGTGATGACAAAAGCAATGTGCGAGCATCGGGATGTATCGTAAGTACGTTATAAAGCAGTAATCTCCTCCTTTCTTGATATATTCAGCCAGTGCTTGTCGCGTTATGTCTAGTCAACGCCTGTCACTCTCTCCGATTCATTTAAGTAGTAATAGAACGGGCAATCGTCGAATTTATTAATCGGGAATTAGAAATTCGGTGATAAACAGAGAGAAAGACAGAATAACACTCAAAATAAATGCGACGCCGAATCTCGGAAGGTAGCGTCGATCTGTTAGCAAGAATAAGAGGGTTGTAGAACGGAGTGCATCTTTGTCGAATCACGGCGCTGTTCACGTTTCGGCATGCATTTTCATTGTACGTCGTCAATTGCGTGGCCATTTTGAATTTCGCTCTTTTGCATCGAGCAGCCGTCATGAACACATCTATCGACATCGCTCCACGTTTTACGTCTGTCGAAAGTGAATCTCGGGCGGAAGTAAGTATCGCGAATGTCGAAAATAACGATACGCGATCGTCGGAACGTATTATAAGTACATTATTAAGCAGTAATGTCCTTCCTCGATATATTCTCAATTGGTGCTTGTCGCGACATGTCGAGTCGGCATCTCTTACTCTCGTTATTACCACCGATTCATTCAAGTAATAGTGGATTCGGACAGTTCTTGGCGGGCAGTATCCGCAGGACTGAGTATGCGTTAATGCGATTAATACATCAATCGCTCCACTGCCCGAACAATATTCTCAATGCTCAATTAAGCGCGAGATGCGTCTCTCACGAAGTGAATAATGCGCGACGTATCGATCGCGTCTCTACGTGCAATTAATCTTACTTACGTGCCACAGTCGTTAATTTTTTACATGTCGCACTTATAATCGAGACTTTAGGTTTAATAATTTGGAAATTTTCATAATGCTATTGCGTTTATTTTATCTCGAAGAACAATAACCTTGGATTTTTTATCTTTTTAGGCTGAGATAATCTTCAATGATCTTCGTGATGTGGCAGCTACGTATTATATTATCGGTGAGTCGTATTTTACGTTTATGTATGTTCAGCGCGATATTTTTTAATTAATTAATAATAATAAGTCATAAAATAAGTAATAATATTAAGTCATAAAATTATTCCCTTATCGTTAAATCAAAATTTGCATCGACACTTAACGCGTGATCGTTTAATCTTTTAATATTTCATAGATTTTTGCTTGTTCGGTTTTTCTAAGCATGTAGCAACTCCACTCACTTTATAAAAAGATTCTTGAACAACTAAGAGGTTTGCAGAATTTAATTTATTATGTGATGAGGAATCTATAATATCGGCTGCAATCATAGTCCACGCGTTACCTCTTCAGGCTAGTTGAGCGGCCTGTTTAGCTTTAGTGTGTTGACAAAGGTTACATCTTCAGATGTAATAGGTTACCTCACATACATACATATTCAGCCAATAATACGCAACAGCTAATCGATAATACGTCTTGTTTATGTCCGAATGTTCGCTACTCAAATCAGAGTGAACGTAACAAGCTGCTCTCAATTTGTCTAGAATTCTAATAATGTTGTAAAGGATATGCATATAAATCAACATTAGTAGAATGAAAAATTTTACTCTAAAAAATCTAGAATATTTTAAATTCTATGTTTTCTTATAATATGTTAAACGTTTGAAGAAAGACGTAGCTGTAACAGACATTCTGTTTTTGTTAAGTTAGCTTAGGATTAGATAGTTGACAATGACAATAAAGTAAAACACCTAATTATTGACATTTTCTTAGACTCATTTCCACAACTTACTTTAACCGGAGTTTAACTCGTTAAAGGCCTATCTAGATAAACTTGCATTATTTATATGCACAACGAAATTCACTTATCTAATTCAAAATATGTCTAATATAAAAGACATCCTTTCACTGCACGGGTTGATTGGTTTCCTTGTACATATATAATATATAATTATGCAACTTTGTCTGGATATGTCTTTAATAAATTAAACTCCATTTAAAGTAAATTGTAGGCTTTAGTTATTGACATGGTAGAAAAAACCTGATTTTTCTTGAAATCAGTGTTGCAGTTAAACTTTTTGCTTGCATTCAGTGATTTCAAAAGAGAACATCACAATTAAAACTGTGAACAATCATCACAAGAAAAACGAAGTTTTTTTAGAGAAAGCGAGATCAATAATTGGGTGTCGATGATTTTACCTTACATTCCACATGTGTAACCTCATTTTTTTCTTCTTTCAGATGAATATAAAACGATAGGAAATTGTGGCGATTCACCAGAGAATGGCAATTGTGTATTTCTTTTCATCAGGTACTACGAAAGTTATAATTTTGTTATGAGATAAGAATATGTGTGTGTGTGTGTGTGTGTGTGTGTGTGTGTGTGTGTGTGTGTGTGTGTGTGTAACTTATATAAATGTCATTTGAGCGAAATATTATTTTAATTATTTTTAATTCAATTAACGTTTGACAAAAGTTAATTTCCTGATACATGTTTAATAAAATCACAATTTTGAAAGTAACTTTGATTTATTTTTACAGATCAACTTTTTGCTGATATTGCAGCTTATGTTCTACACGTAATTATGGTGAGTCATATTTATTTTTCATTTCACTCATTATAGATAAAGAAAATAACGTATTAATGGATAAAATGTGAATTGTTAAATCTCAAAGGTTAAAGTTCTGAACTAAATCTGAAATAGATATTATTATGGGACATTATTATTTGAAAAAAATCTACTATCAAATTAATCATTCATGTTTGTATAAAGTGCATAAAATACTATGAAATTCAATGAGTGATTTAACATAACACAATTGCGTCTAATGTATAAAATAATAAATAATTCAAGATATGAAAATCCAGAGAGGAATTCAGAATTCTTTCCATCTATTTTTAGATTTCTTTAATATTATTATATTTAATTTGCATGAACGAATATTACAGTTGAAAACGCACGATACTAATTGCTAATTACTTACGATGCTAATTGCTGTTGCTATTTGTAAATAAGTTGTCGCGATAAATCCGATGCTTTTCTTTTTCGTATTGGAAATCTTTTTTTTTTTTTGGAAACTGCTCTCTTTCTCTCTCTCTAACTTTTGCTATCTTGGTTTTATTTACATATATGAAATTCGCCAACAGTAGTCAGTCTGCAACAACTCGGATATACAAAATAGTGCGTAACAGCAATTATTTCTCTATTTATTTTGATATTCTACTGTTATAATATCGATTTATCTCGTTGATTATATTTCGTCATGTATGAAGATAATGGGGTGAGTAGTAAATATGCAACATGAACAATACAGCGTATTTTATGTAACAAAAGACTAAACGGCAGATATTAACCGCGCCGACACAGAGGCAATCATAGTCGTTGTCCGAAAAACGTTTACTGCGGTCGGAGGACGACTACAATCACAGTTCTATGAAATGTTATAAAATAAGATATTATCCCAGTTTATATTAAAACGATATTGTAGTAGATCTCACGGTTTTAACATAATTCCATTAATATCCAATTGCATTATGGCGTGATATCTGGTGTTTACTAATTCCTGTCGATCATTGAACTGTATATGATTAGTATATTGATTAATTGCAACCACTTGGCGCTAATTACGCGCACTGCATAAGTTACGACTAATAGAATTGAGTCATGAGTACAAACGCTCATTTTCTTCCACATATCTACATTAAGAAAAAAATAGCTGAAAAATGAAAAATATTTATTCAATGGACACTAATAACATATTTTCTTAACACTGAATTCTTTTTCCTTTAAATAGAATATACAATTACTTTTATAAAAAGTAATAGTGTTTTAGGAAAATATATTTCCTCGTTTGAAAGAAATTCTTTCTCAATGTAAAAATATATATATGTTTGTACAAGTCAATATGTTATTATTACCTAATGACATTAATAAACATTTCTTAATTTTTGGGTATTTCTTTTGTAAATGCAACAGAAGGGATTGATAAATTTTGTCGTCTCTTCGCACCTATTGGACGGAAACAAATAAATGTTAGTAATCGTGAATTTTTAAACATTCTTAAGATTGAAGTAAATTATACATCGCAGTGAAATATTTTGTACGGATTCGTTTTACTTATGAATGGAATTTCACTCGAAAAAACTTAAGGCTCTCGAGCCAATACTCCCAATTAACGACGTTAAAATGAATATTATAAAGCCGTGATTAGTATACCAGACGCACACACACGGATTTTCCCGAGAAACCCCGCGTACACGCTGTACACATGCGACTCACACATACACATACGTGCACGCCCGCCTCATCAGCCTGATTGCCTTGTGCGCGTCCGATGGACACGAAACGAATGTCGCGCGTTTTGACCAGCACACGCGATTGTCCGCTGTGGAATCCGCGATGTCGATACCCGCCATTTCCGTGTTATCCGACTCACCCCCGCGCGCGCTGTATACCGCGTGTAAACCGCGACGGGCACATTATGTTTATGCACTCAGCACGCTCTTTACAGCTCACTCTCGGACCGTCTCGTGTGCATCGCAACGAGCTGTCCCACGCTTGCCATACAGCCTGGTCGGGAATAGTCGTAGATCGATAATAACGATAAAGCCACGATGAAAGGCTAACCGCGGCAGCGGTGTAAGGGAGGAAGGGTGTGAGGATCGAGTAATCCGACGTTGTAATCCGTTAGCCATTCCGAATCCGATCATACAGTAATTACGTTGCCGTCCGTATGCCATCATGGGAATGCGTAATTAATTCGCGGTCTATAGTTACACGCGATTTATAATCGTTATTTCACGATACGCGAAATGTGTGCGTGTGTCGCATGCGTGCCGCGTGTCGTGATGCGCGCGCCGCGCAATCGAACGCATCGCGTAATTAAAATGATTATTATTAGCGAACCACGGCGAAAGAAAATAGCTGGATATTGTAACGTATTAATACGTACAGACGTTATTTCCCCCCGCTTTTAACCGATGAATTCACGCTGTGGACGCCACGACGGACGGATTTAATCCCGGTTGGATAATGATCGCACTTGCACACACATGCACACACGAATGCTATATAGATGCGCACGTATGCTCGCGAGCGTGTTCGGCATGTGCGCGCGGCGAGCTTAAGCCGAGATGAAACTTTTGCGTAATTCCATTAATCGCGGCGTAAATGTTGCTCACGAGACGAAACATTAACATCGTTACTGTCCGAAATTTCTTTCTTTTATAATGTGCTCCGTACATGTACGCGAGTACGTTTCATCCAACTGGTCCGGCTAAATGTTAATGCGTTAAAATGGCAGACATATTCTGCGAGTGCGCGCGGATGCACATCGAAATACGAAGCGGCGGATTATGCTCGTCGGACGCGTTATATTCTGCAGCGAGAAAATTGAGAAAGTGGTCTTGTGCACTAGAAAGCATCGAAACGATGTTCGCCTTTAGAATCGACTCGTGCATTTACCCAGGGAAAATATTATAGTTTTGTTTTTTTTTCATAAAATTTTTTTCAATTTTTCTATATATATTTTCTATATATTTCTGATAAAGCAAGAACAAAACTGTCAGAATAAGATTTATTTTGTGTATTAAATTTCGCTAGGAACTTAGCAAATTTTTTAATAGTCGCATTGCAGTTCCTTTTAAATATGAATAGCACATACACTGAGAGAATAAAATATCTAAAAAATAAAAAAATTTATTCGGTGGTTATTAATAATATATTTATTTAAAAATACAAATTCTTTTATTTAAATGGAATAAACAGTTACTTTCATGAAAATCTGAACTATTCTCTCCGTGTACAAATAAATATATTATATAATATCCGAACAAATATTTTTTATTCCATAGATATTATTTTTCTCTCAGTGTATGAAATGAAAGGTCGGTCTATTCCTTGGTTACTAAATTTTATAGTAATTTTTATTATAAAACTCTTTCTCCAGTTAACGTTAGCTGCTCAATTTTCTTTCGTCCAACGTTCACATTATAATAATGTGATGAAATCTGACAGGTAAATCTCAAAATCGAGAGATCTCGATTGAGGATTACCTCCAAACGTGTCTGTCCGTGCGATTGTAAGGAGAAAACCAGGAGAACCAACGCTCGTCACATAAACGCCTATTCCTTTATCATCGAAGTTCGATTCTGGGATATTAACTATAATCTACGGTTCCGCATGGTCCGCCAGTAAATCGCGCATTAGAGCCAAGAGTCAGCCGAGCGATTTTCTAACTCTCCCTCTCTCTCCTTCTCACTCTTCCCCTTTCTCTCTCCTCGCGTCCAGAACTCAGGAGCGTGATCGGAGTTAACTGGAACTCGGTGGACCGCACGAGGTGATAAAACACGAGTAATATTCAAACTCGAGTATCTATCGGCGTTCCTTATGCTGGTCGAGTACGCGTGGTCGCGCGATGCATAATATTCCGTGACAAATGGCGGATACATGGAAGTATGATGCGGACGATGCGATATGACGACGACGACGACGATGACAAAGAGACCTGCATTAAGACAAAGTGAGAAGCAATGAGAGAAACAAGGAGAGAAGAGAGAGAAAGAGAGAGAGAGAGAGAGAGAGAGAGAGAGAGAGAGAGAGAGAGAGAGAGAGA